ACAGGAAGTCATTAATACATACTGATTAACCTTTTCCATTTCACTGGCCACAATAATGATCTGCTGTTTCTAAAACAATGGAAAGGTGCAGTGATCAGCCTTCTCAAAATATGTTGCATGCTCAATCATTATTTTTAACCCATTTACTCCAGGAAATTTTGCAGAAAATTGTTTTTTGAAGCTAATCAAGCTGTTTTCTGGTCACTGCTTGGCTACAATAAGCCAAAATTAACGCTGTTTGTGCATGAGTTGAGCACTTCACAGAGCCTTCTGTTCCAGATGCAAAGTATCAGCTTCCAACATTTGATCATGCTTAAAAAGCAAAATTTCAAGCTAGTTTTTAGGTTTCAAAGTTACACAGCAGTCTTGATGTTTATTTTTCGCTTCTTCTCCTCCCATTGATAGGAAATGTTTTAGGAAAGCTTGTAGGATCATAGGGTTAGATAGAAGGACGTGTAAGTGAGTAGTTGAACAAGATTTCAAGGGGAATGGGTTTATAGTTAAGCATTAAATGTTGTGATGGCTTGGTTACAGTAAGTGACATCCCAAACTTGTTGTGTTCCTATTACTTGGCGAACGGAACCAGTGATAAATTCATTAAAAAGTGTGAAAAAAAAAAGTGTGGCTACTGTTTTCAGAGCCCAAAATAATAACTTCACTGGTAGATATTTTCACTTCTGAAAGTTTTATTGTATTGACCCCATGACAAACAATAACTAAACCAATGAATTTCTTATGGAGTTCCCCTGTTCACCATCTTTTAGAGTAGCGTAGAGTACTATGACCTGCACCCAACCATTAGAAGACAATAATAACTTCAAAGAGATTATGTTCTATGTGGTTACGTGCCCGAGGTTATCGCTATTATCCCAACAAAGTCATACAGCATAAGAAGCTTTTGGTGGAGAACTAAACTCAGCAAACATGCTTTACAAGAAATGTAAATCGTGTATAAAAGCAATGAGTTTGACTATCCCGTGTGCACTAATGTAGGCATTTATTGCATGCTTGACCAAAATATTCTTTGGCTTTGATTGAAAGCCAACGTCATGTTAATAAACTTGAAGCTTGTATTTGTTGTGGTTAATTTTTCAACTCAAGTAATGTATGCTAATAAAGTTGAAACAAAAGAAAAAATAAGAATTAACTGAGATAAAAAATTAACTGCAACATATACGTCAAATATAGCTTCAGGCAGAGGGTATTGAAACTCTTTCTAGGAAAGAAATTTTTGTTCAAAATCTTAGATTTTTCCCCAGGGGCTCCACTCACATATTTTAATGACGGGGGGGTCCGAAGGATTTTTTTGGGTCTGACATTTTGGCCAAAAGATTTTTTTTTGGGTCTAGGAAAGACGCCGGGATTTTTTTGGGTCGCGAAAACAACACAGGGATTTTTTTGGGTATTGTATTTTTTATCAGCTGAAATCAACAATAACATAAGTGCAATTTACTGCTTGTGTGGTATTACGGGATATTTCTGAGATTGTAATCTATTTGAAAAGTAATTACCGGCACTCCACGCGCATCTAATCCAGAGAGAAATATTCAGTAGGTCACGTAATTCAAGGCCTTTCAAGCCAGTCATCAAGACAACTTACCTTTGTGACATATGTTTCATTTGTAAAATACTTAATCTACAAATGGGCGACTATATATAGATAATAGTTTACTAGTGCAACGATACATTTTTATTTCCGTTCCTTTTGACTAAAACATTTGATTTCTTAAACTGGGAGTCAATGCTGTTGAGTTCCAGCAAGAGCTAAGAGGTCCCGTCAGTTGTGATCCCATTTTTGTTGTATGAAGAAGTTCTCTTGAAAATATTAGTAACATAACAAGTGGTTTATGAACCCATACAAAGATGTGTCGCTGACTCAGTTATTTCAGAAGATAAATAATAAAATTTGCTGATGCAAAAACACTGAGGGATTTTTTTGGGTATGCTAAAAAATGTAGGGATTTTTTTGGGTAGACAAATTCTGAAGTTGTGATTTTTTTGGGTATAAAATATGAACCTCTGTCGGACCCCCCCGTCATTAAAATATGTGAGTGGGGCCGCTGGGGATTTTTCTTTTTAACGCCATTAATATTTAACTCATTGACTGGCAAACAGTTTTGGGGAAGGGCTCATTTAATTTGGCAAAGACGACGGTATCAGTTCTCCATAAAGAACTATAATACAAAGTGGAAAACCCGAGGATCATAAACAAATCCGTACTTCCAGTTGGTGAATGAGCCATCCTGGATCGGTCCACACAAAGTTTTACAGTTGTGATTGATTAATGCAGTCTATCATTTATTAATTAGTGAAGAATATAAAGGGGAAGAAAACTTATTTAAGGGGGTGGGGTTACAAGAGGATTTATGGTATTTACATTTGATGTTCATTTCATGAATGTGTTTTCATTATGTCATATCTGTTTGAGACAAAGGAGCACATTTAGTTATTGTAGCATACTTTGAGAAATAAACTTGAACGCAATGCTTATAATTATGTGATAAGTAAGTATTATACACATTCCCCGGTGATGTTTGATTGGCAGAAAGACTAGCACTGTCCAGTGTAAAAACAAACACCTGATAGCAGGTCATCATCATGACAAGCAATTATCTCAGTGCAAAAGGAGACAAAATATTAAGCACTCTTGTACATCTCAATAATACAAGTCATTGGTCCATCATTACACAAAAGGAGAAAAGTATTAATTTTATCCCAATGAAATAGAACAACTCTGCAATGAGCACGATCCTGGCGTGAATGAGGAGATATTGTTCCATTCCATTTACAACAGTGAAAAATAATTTTCATCAACCAAGAAATCTAATCTGAAGAGAATTAGGGTAGTTCCCCTTCTATACAGCCTCAGCTCTTTTTAGAAATCAGGTTAATGGTTTCTGTTTCCTACAACAAAAGAAGTAATAAAATGATTATGGTAAATGTACAGCTTGTTTTATAAGAAATTATTTTTCAAAACAAACACTTAGAAGAAAAAAAGAAAAATCTACAATGACAGAACAAAAAAAAAATTAGTTACTACAAATAACAAACAGCAAAAGAAATGAGCTTCATACATGTAAACAATCATCCACATACTAAAAAATTATTTGTAGCATGCTGTAAAATGTCTAACAAACACCTTATAGGAGGTTATCATCATGACAAACAAATAACCTCAGGAGCTCCTGATAACCTCAAGAGTTTGGATTCTCACCTGTTTGCCTCTGTACGACGAGGACGACGATGATGATGACCCCGATATGAAACTTTTGGATCTCTACGACTCGAATGTGGATAAGAATTAAAAAGAGGGAGGCAAAGTGGGACGCTTTAATTTGAAATCAAAGCTATGAAAGCTGTTCGACCACACGAAGTTCATGAAACAAGACAATTCTGGCCAGCCAAACCCATTTTCAAAATATGGACAATCAAAGCTGAAAGCCTTTGGGTACAATCAATAGTAAGTTCCCTGTAGCTGTTCCCGTGGGCAAAGCAGTAATCCGACGTCAGTTTGCTGAAAGCTGAAATTTGCTTGAAGGATTTGTAATGTAAGCACTCGATGTTTACATACGATGAACATCCCAAACGGCGCTTTCAGTAACTTTACGCACAGAGTTTGAAGGCAATTAAACAGTAGGTTTTATAAGTTTCATTTAAGGTTTCTTGCTAAATTTGATTTATTCTTTTTCTACGAACAGCAGTCTTGAAGGTCCTTGTAGTTTAACATCTCTCTCTCACGCTCAGCCGCCGTGCTTCGATTATCGATCTTCATTACGATCTTCAATTTTCTCAGGTTTGCGCAGGCGCAGTTACGCAAAACAGGCCAAATTACGTCATTATCTACTAGCCAATCAGCGGTTTTTGCGATCTGTCGCTGGAGTTCTGGCCGAGTGAAGTGCACGAGGTGCGAACGTTTGCTCCCTGTAAAGCATTTTTATTTGACATGTTGCTTTTTTTTCGCCGCTTGAAAATTACTTTGGATTCAGAGGGGAATGCAAAGCACTGCACTTCACAGTTCAGACACTGAATCGTGTTTAAAACTCAATCAAAATCGAGTTTTAAGTTTATTTCAGCATTAAAGTTGAAAACTCCCGTTACAAACCGCTCTACCAGCAAATAGCGGGGCTATCACTTCCTATACTATCACTGTAGCATGTTCAGTGACCTATAAATCAATATACACATGTATATAGACGGTATAGATATGGCACTATAGATGCTTAACTTAAAATTATAGCGCGACATGATCTACCTTATATTCGGTGCCAAGAAAAACAACTCTGATTAGAGCTCGTCCCCAGTCGTCTCTTTTTTCAAGTAATTTAGGAGCTGCTCGTAAGGTGTTTCCTCATTAGTCGCAGAAAACAATAACACATCATCGTTTATCATTATTGCCAACTGTTTCACGGTTAGGGTGGTTTGGCTCTTAGGGTTAGGAGAGCTGGTATATGACCTTTGGTCTCCTAGTTACATAGTATCCTTCCCATCGTTCCCTTCGCCGAAGTGCCATAATAGTCTCCCGCGACCGTTCCATGACCGCCGACAAATGACAAGAGAAGACTGGGTACGAGTCAGTGCATAACTGAGACATTTGAAAATCGGCCGGGCTCTTCTTAGTAATAGGCTAATGGGGATGTGCCACTGGATGGGGTCGCATTTTTACGATTGGATTGACTATAAAAAGGTTCAATAGAGTTACTAGAATGGGGTCGCACATTTTCGGGATTTTGGGGGTACGTAAGAATATTACGGTAATTAGGGATTTCAATCCGTGAGGATTTTTACTACATTATGTGTAACAAATGTGCCAATTCATTTCGCGATGACCTAGTTAAAAGGCTTTATAAGGTAGATGCATAAACAGAAAGTGACTAATTTAGGATCACGAAAATGACATTTACCCAAAATGGGTCCGCAGTAATTTATAAGCAGCACCCGATTCAGAATTTAATCTGAAAATTAATTGCTTCCTTTGAAAATAAAGTACTGAACACTGAATCCTACTGCAAGTCCTTGATCTTAAAATTTCTGCTTCCATAGAAGTTATCAGCCGCTTCCATCCACTTATCAATGACCTTCTTGATGTATCGTGCCGAAAGTTTATGCATGTATCTTTTATTGTCGTGGTAGCCATCTTGTGCCGGATTGAACACTCCCGAATTTATCTTGAATTCTCCGTTCATCACAGAGAAGCCTTCGGCGTTGACTTCCCTTTCTGTGCATTCTTCGCCAAAAGCGCTTCTGTAAACTGCACCATGTACAAGCCCTGGGCTTTTTCCTTGATATTTCTTCACTTTCTTGGTTGAGGTATCCATAATGACAAGATATCCACTCTTACAACGGGTGCCGTTGGCGGTTTGCCACTTAGATTTCCCATCGCAAGAGTAAATGATGACACCAGCGTAGCAATAATCAGTTCCTTGCATTGATACGCATCTGACTGGCAGGAGATGTGGATTGTCTCAAAGGGAAACGAAGGAAGATCAGGGCATGCTGGGCTTGGATTACTTACTAGCCTGAGTACACGTTCGTCTTCCTCAGCTGAAATAAAGCTTGAATACGACATCGATGAAACCCAAACTATTGCTTTACTTCCAAGCACCTATATTGATAATTTACGTCACAAGCGTTTGCTCTGCTCTGCTTTTAATAGACAACTTCCGCTTTTTCCGAGAACTCGTGACCCAAAAAACCCTTCGATAAAAATCGCCCCTTTAAATACAAGCCCCCGGGGGCGTCGGAAATTGCCCTCGAATCCAAAATTATACAACAAAGCAAAAACTATCCAGTAACACATAAATTTCCGCATTTGCCAAAGAACTATTACTGTGCCCTGAAATGATTTTTTTTTTCAGTCAAAAAGTGTCACAATATTCCTGTTTGCGTACGTTTCAGTCTTGACTTGGATTTTTTCTCGGTCCATATAGACAAAGTACTTGTATGGCTAAGGCTAAGAAAAATCGACGTCCTCAAGGAAAGTTTCAGTAAAACCTTGCTGTATATTACTGACCTAAAAATCGAACAACTATAACCTAGCCCAATGGATTTTGAGACGCATGTTTCACTCCTAGTATAAGCCAAGGCGGTTTTGAAACAGAAATTCCCTCCGTATATAGGCCCCTCCGATTATAAGCCTCTCCAAAAATAAGCCCCTCAAAAAGGGCCCTTCAAAACATATAAGCCCCAGGCCGCTTATTTCCGGAATCTAACGGTTAATGTTAACTTTGAAACCCCAGACGATATTGTTGAAGTTACCTAGGAAGTTTTATTCCCGGTGGGTTATCGATATATCCTTGGGTGGGGAGGTGCGGCCCGGCCCCTCATACCCTGACCTTATTTAAGACAAAAATCGCTGATTTTCCTACCCTGTTTAAGACAGAATTCCGATTTTGATACCCTGTTTAAGACATTTAACCCCAAAACCATACCCTGTGTAAGACAATAATGAATAAAAATTTTGCTGTAGTTTAGTTGGTAGAACATACACACAGGCTGTTTATCGTTCAAGAAAAGATACGCTGTTTAAGACAAAAAATTAATAAAATCGATATCCTGATTTTAGACAAAAAATGATAAAATCGATACCCTGTTTAAGACAAAATCCCGAAAAACATACCCTGGTTGGCTGCACGTCCCCATTTAGCCCTTATAAGGAAGTACACTCTCCCCCCCCCCCCCTCCCGGGGTTCTATAAATGGTTTGGCCCGCTAACAAAAAAGAATCTGCCCAATTTGCCAATTAGCATAAGATCTTTTAAGAGTTTGAAACTTAATCATAATTCTTTTCACTTCACTTTTTTATCGATCTACTCTAGTGCCTGCAAAACCTGCGCTCTGGGATTTATTTAAAAGATCTTGAAATGTTGCAAGTATATTTTCTATTTGTTTTGACTCTCACAGTGAGGAGTTGGCAAAAAACAAAAAATCGAAAAAAAATGGTACGTCCCATTTCACCCTCTTTGCACGGTATTAGAGACAAAAAAAAACATAACTTTTAGGTCCGAAAACAGGGATTTTGCTGAGTTTTGTTGCACTTGCGCGTATTGTAGCAGCCGGCGACCATGTGACTGACCATTCTGTACGACTACTCAAATCGGGAAACTTGGAAGAAGATTGTCCAATCACAACGTTTTTAAAAACAAAAGATTGTCGAGTTGTTTTGCAAACGGACCAATAAAATTAAAGATTCAAGTATGCAACCGTTGAAAACTTTAAAACCATTTGAACTTACCTGAACTCTTGGAAAACAGTCCTCAAATTTATGAATGAAATTGGTCCGTTTGCAAAAAAAAATGATAATCTTTTGTTATCAAGAGGTTGTGATCGGACAATCTTTCTGCCCCGGTTCGAGTACCCACTGTGATAAGGGTTAGAACTTCGTGAAATTTAGCCACTCAAAAAAAGCAAGATTCTGGACACTGTTGCTAGGCGCAGGAATTACTCCAAATAATCAGTCTTTAGTCCCGCGCTGGGGGCTACTCCTGTGAATTCTTGATGGCGGGGGAGTGTTCTGTTCGGTTCTCCAAATCACGACCCAGTTTTTCAGACCAAACAATGGCATTTTAACACCCGTTTTCAGACCTGGTCTCAAAGAAATTAAGTCGATCATCATTACTTAGATTAAAACGCCAAATAAAAAGATGTCTTGCAAACCTCTTTCTTTCTTAATCATTTGGAATTGAAACGACAAATACGTTTATACACTCCAGTAGTTAGTTTCCTCAAAAACCATACCCGACTCCAGACCAAAATGAGCAGAGTGTTTACCAGTTTTCGAACCGAAAGGGGGAACATACGTATTTGGCCAGTATGTAAGGAATACCACCCTCGGCCCCGGGGTCTTTATCTTATTATCTATACACTGGGTGTCCTGTGGCTTTTGCAAAAAAGGGTGCCACGCGATCACAGGAACAGCGCAAACCTCAAATGGAAACATTCCGAAATACCCTTGGGGGAAGGTTGGAAATAGGCCGCAATTAAGTTTACTTTCACGCTCGCCGCACGTCGTCGCTCTGTGGTTGTCGCTCTTCGGAAAGAAGGACAACCGCTCATGCCGGTCTAGGCAGTCTAGGTTGGATCAGCATGTCCGCAAAACTCGCCACAGGTTTCTTAACATGCTACGACTACTTTGTTTGACCTTGACTCTTGACTTTCCCTTTCCCTTTTGCCTACTTTTGCATTTTTTTTAGCGGTTTTGATAATTTAGGGCGAAGGAAAGGTAAAAGAAAAAATTCAAGGACGCGCGCACTCGCGAGAGGAGAAAAGGAGACTGCCTCCCGGTTTCCCGTTGTCTTAAACTTTGGTGAGAAGTGCTGAAGCCGTAAGAGATGCATTTCATAAATGATTTTCATCGTTTGTACATTTTATGGTCCATTTAGGTATGTATGTATGTGTGTGTATGTACGTATTTGTTTATTTATTTATTGAATTTTTGTGGAATTTGCATCACGCATGGAACGTGCGTGGATCACACAGCGAGGCAGAAAGATACGTTTGCTATATGAATATACTGATGTGTAAATCAAGGATACAATGACAGTCTAGTGCCAACGTTTGCCTTTTATATGGAGTCAGTGACAGATGAATGAGCATTATAAAATCAACAATTAGTCAATGTATTAAACTCTGCTTTATTACCTTTTCTTACTTAGGCTATCATGTACAAGTGTGGTATTATTCAAACATAACTTTGAATACATGTGCACTTACCAATTATGATTATTAACTGCTAGCTGTAATATTATCACGGATGATAAAAAAATAGAAAAGAAATAATAATTCAACAGGGTCTTTTAAGGACTGGGGCTTATGTATGAGCGTATCCTGTATGAATTTCAAGGATTGTCATTAAATTTATTTCCTTTACCAACATATTGATAAAACGGATGAAAAAATTGCCCCAAAGTTGTATTTAGTGCTCTGTGGTGAAGGTGTACTGAAGCTAAGGAAAATACATGTAATTTCATATTGCCTATTAAACAGACAAATAGACATGTATTGATTCAAGTACATGAAGATGAGGGAGACTAAAATGACACATGTAGGGGTTTTATTGCATAACCTACCCTGTATCCGCCACCCCCCCACCCCCCCACCCCCCTACCTCCACTATGGACCATCAACAGGACCACTCCGCTACACAAGACCAAAACAGGACTTCCCCCCCACACCCCCCACTCGTCTCGCACCCTCCATGGCCCCCAATACTTC